TTGCAGCGTCGCTTCAGCTCATTCAGGTTTGCAGCATTCATTCATGCTCAGCTCTGAGCTCTGCAGCAGCTCCATGCAGACGTGCTGTCGCAGATTTGCAGCTGCGCTCAGAGCTTTGTCCTGCTGATGACCAGTTTGGTCCGAACTTTCTGTGAGACAGACGGCCTCACGCTGACTCAAGAATACTTTGGTGTAGAGAGGAGCTCGTGGTGCACTCAGATCATCATTCCTGAGGTGTTTGTTTCCTCCAAACGTGCTGCTGTGCATGACGGGCAAACATCTGCACTTTGGTGTTGTTTGTTCAGAAGCAGCTGTGCTGCTGTGTTCTGTTAAAGAGAAGAATATGGCTTTCTCCTGCAGCCCTCCAAACAACCCACATTTGATGGACAAGTATGGCTGTCATGAAATTTAACCTTTACTGAGGCCTGCAGAGTCTGAGACAGAGCTGTTGGATCTCACCTCTGGGTGAATTTTGGGAACGTTACTGAGTTTCTCCTCAGAGCTTTCAAAACATTAAATGAGGAAAATGTGTTGGAAACCTGAGCTGCAGAGAAGGGGGGCAGTGGAGATCGAGAAAAGATGTTTTTGAACCTAAAGTGTTTGTTTTTTCCGAGCAGGTAGCTTGGTGGAGGGGGCAGTGAAGGGAGCTCTGAATTCAGCCAACAAGAACAAAGGTGAGAAGAAAGGAGGAGGCGGCATCTTCTCGATGTTTGGAGGCAACAAGAACAAAAATAAGGACAAAGACGATAAAGGAGCGCCCCTCCCAAATGTGCCCAACAAAGATGGTAGTGGGGGCAAGAAACCAGTACCCGAAGGGAATTTAGCAGGAACTACAGGAGGGAACGTGGGACCGACGATGGGAGGAGGTGCAGGAGGGAACGTGGGACCGACGATGGGAGGAGGTGCAGGAGGAAGTGGAGGATCAGCTGGACCTGTAGGACAGGAAGGAGTCACAACAGACACAGGTAGGGATAAAGAGACCCTCCTGTTGGTGCTCAGCTGTCCGCTCACTGAAGATGAAGCCATGAAGGCTTAAAGTCAGGAAGTTGTTGCTAAAAGAAAACATGTCAGGAAGTGACAAAAGAAAGAATCAGCTACAGGCAGGGTGCTCGCTGCAAGCACCAGTTTTTGCCCCTCAGCAGGCTTCCTGAAGTCAGCCATTCAGAGGAAGCCTTGATAAAAGTTAAAGGGGTTTTTAGGTACTGGGATTCTGGATGAGTCCAGAAATCCAAAGCAGATATATTCACACACGTGTTGCATCTTTTGGTTGAAGTATGTCATGACTTTACACCTTCATCACTCACTGGTTTAAGTTGTCTTTAGTGAACCTCCGACTGACGTATCAGCAGCCCAGACTCACGTATAATCTGTTTAGAGTTAGTAACCTATCCTCTGTCTTCTTGGTTTGTCTCAGATCTGATGGATGATCTGTTCGAGCTGGGAGACGAAATGAAAGGGAACTGAAGCAAAAGGAAGAAAACCCGACTCCCACAACCACTCAGAGAAGATCCGGAAGGACGAGAGCGCCCACATTTTTCTCTGGTCTACAGTTTTGCACAGAACTAAAGATTTTAATGCATTATCAGCCTATTATTCACCGTGTTTTATTCACCGTGTTTTATTCACTGTGTTTTCTGCTTTTAGATAACCAGTCAGTGTGTTTAACTTTATCATAATAATAGCACCAGCAAAGACGTTATGAATGAATAAATTTAAATGTTTTACTGGAGGGGACTTTTCAGTTTGTCAGTATTTTGTCTCGTAGAAGCTTCTCGTAAACTCCATGGTGGATGTTTTAAAGCATATATTAGTTTTCATTTTAAGAAAAATAAACATCTTACACATAGATATTTCAATATATGATCATTGAAAATCAATAAAAGCAATCTGAAATAAATACTGTCATAACAAACAGAATTAAATAAAGAAATAAATTTATGAAAATGTGGTTTTTTCCATTTACTTCTGATGTTTTTCCTTATGTTGACATACACTTTGATTCATTATAAACTCAATCATTTAAATAACATTTCAAACCGAAATGTAAAAGTAGTCACAGAAATAAGAGTATCTCAGATATTAGAATAAGACAAAGGCATTAAAATGCTTCGATGAAACACTGGGAACAGCAGTGACGTCTGAACAACTGTCAGCTCTGCAGTCTTTGCCTAAATGTTTTTATACTGTTTAAATATTTAAATGAGAGCTAAGCTAAAGCAGCTCGTTTCAGACAGAGTAGCTTAGTATGAGATTACTGGATGATGCAGGTCCAGGATTAAAAGAACAAAGGAGACGATGAAGAAATGTGTTTCTTTGCAGATGTCTAGATATTGTGTGTCCAAAAAGGTCGATTCTGTTCATCTGGACGTTTTCAGTGGGAGAAACGTTTGGTCATCATCCAGCTGACTCCTTCAGTCTCAGCTGACTGCAGGTTTCAATCTTATAAACAGGACATTTGCATAATGACTGAAACCAGCCCACTGAAGGAACAATGGGCTGGGAGCTCAGTTTATGATCATTATTATGCAAACTGTCATGAGCCATTGATCAGCAACACTGATCAGTGGCAGGTTAGCCTTCTTAGACTGTGAGATTTACATGGGTAATGTATGGTTTGTAAAGTGAAACATGCTGAAATTAATGGCAACATTTTTCCACATGTAGCTCAAAACCTTTCAAAAACCTTTTTTCGAGTCATTTTTTACAACATTTAGTAAAATATTTGTAACTTTTCATATTTAAAACACAATTTTAAATGTTAAATCTAAATGTTGAATTTAAATCTTATTATATTTAAATCTAAATCTAAATGTTAAATCTAAATATTTAGCTAACATGCAAATTTATTGTACGAATCAACGGAAATACCAAAATAAAAGCTTTACGAAATCCTCGGGTGCAAAAGTGTGCCGGTAGTGGTCAGATTGTGTCTGCTCTCCCTGATGGTCACTTCTCACCGCCATGAGCTGCTTCACTTCTTGCCTACCAGCACGTCCAGCGATTTAGCTGGACATGTGCTGCAGTGATTGTGAAGTGGAGACCACAGCTGCTGAGAGCGCACTACTGCTGAACCTTTGGTTGGCCGACAAAACGGATCTTCCGATGTTTTCAGCTAAATCGCTGGACGTGCTGGTAGGCAAGAAGTGAAGCAGCTCATGGCCTCCTGTAACATTTAGGGTTAACATTTAAGATTTAGATTTAACATCCATCCATCCATCTTCATCCGCCGGGTCGCGGGGGCAGCAGCCTAAGCAGAGAGGCCCAGCCCTCCCTCTCCCCAGCCACCTCCTCCAGCTTATCCGGGGGAAGACCAAGGCGTTCCCGGGCCAGCCGAGAGATATAATCTCTCCAGCGTGTCCTGGGTCTGCCCCGGGGCCTCCTCCCGGTGGGACATGCCTGGAACACCTCACCCAGGAGGCGCCCAGGGGGCATCCTTGTCAGATGCCCGAACCACCTCAGCTGGCTCCTTTCGATGTGGAGCAGCAGCTGCTCTACTCTGAGCCCCTCCCGGATGGCCGAACTTCTCACCCTATCTCTAAGGGAGAGGCCAGCCACCCTTCGGAGGAAGCTCATTTCTGCCGCTTGTATCCGCGATCTCGTTCTTTCGGTCACTACCCACAGCTCGTGGCCATAGGTGAGGGTAGGGACGTAGATCGACCGGTAAACTGAGAGCTTCGCGTTTACACTCAGCTCCCTCTTCACCACGACGGACCGGTGCAGCGTCTGCATTACTGTGGCCCAGAGGTGGGTCGAGTATCCAAAAATTGTACTCAAGTAAGAGTAGCATTACTTTAAGATATTATTACTCGAGTAAAAGTAAAAAGTAGTCGTCAAAAAAGTTACTCAAGTAAGAGTAAAAAAGTACGTTGTGAAAAGACTACTCAAGTAGTGAGTAACTGTTTGAAATGTCTGATTTATTTTTTAGATAAATGCTATCAGACAAACAAAATAAATAAATATACAAATTTTCGTATTTTCAACAGGAATATATGTAAAAACAACAATTCTCATTTCCAGGTTTCAGTTTTTCACAACATAAAGCTTTTTTCACCAATACCTGCAGTAAATAATATAAACATATAAACAGTGCAAACAATGTCCAGTGACAAGATATGCTGTAAACTTTATATTCATCTTTGCTCCAAATGGCACAGCAGCCTCAGAGAAAACTGAGCGAGGCATCTTCATACAAGGCAGCTCAGTTTACCATAAGTTGTGCATCTATTTCTGCATATTCAGCAAAAATGTGCCCTTTCTTCACTCGGTGAGGTGATGGTTCAGCTTCAGCAGCAGTTTGCTCTCAAGGTTCTTTCTGTGAAGCTGTGACTGTTTAGCAGTGAACAGGAGTCCTGCACGACTGAGACGTCCTTCACAAGCAGTGCTCGCCAATAGATCCTCCTTGCACTGTTTGGCTGTTACTCTGGGAAAAGACAAAGGCAGTGATGGAAGCCGTGACTGGAGCTGCGATGTAGCCTCTAATCTCAATTGTATGAGATCAGAGGCTAAAAGAAGTTACCGGAAACTCCACTGGCAGCATGTTATCGAATGTGTTAGACTAATTTTTTTTTTAAAGTAACAAGTCGAATTTTGCAAATGTAGTGGAGTAAAAGTACCGTTTCTTCTTCACAAATGTACTCAAGTAAAAGTAAAAAGTATTGTGCAAAAAGGGTCCTTTAAAAGTACATTTTTTTCAAAAACGTACTCAAGTAAATGTAACTCGTTACACCTCAGCTGGGTTAGGGAGCTAACCCTGCTGCTAACAGTAAATACGAAGTATTAAACATTATTGTGCAGCACGTAGGATCGACAGCGCACAGTGTGCTTTGAGGTAGGAGCCAAAAAGGGTGCAGTTTGTGTGTGTGAGCACCCGTGTGTACACCTGTGAGCGTGGACGCGCTGGCATTTAAAAGGTTCCTTCATGTAATGATCTGCTAGAGGGTGCTCCAGAATATAGGGTACTTGTCATTTGTAGGTATAAATGTGAAACATGAAAACATCACTGAAGCATTGAAAATGAGTTTTTATTGACCTATGACCTCTGATAAGCCCCGCCCGCTTCTTTACTTATGTCACACGTGTCCTCAGGACCCACAGATCCCAAAGCTGCCATCAGGTCTGCAGTCACTGTGAGGTCAGCGGGGTTCAGGGAGGAACTGAAGGTCCAGCAGTGTGAAGTCCTGACTGATGGGGATGCTGTTCTCATCGCACAGGAAGTTGCTTCTGATGGTGGCGATGAAGGTCTTCCTCGGGAGGGAGAGGAGGGTGTGGATCCTCTCTGCTGCCACCTGGATGTGTTTCACCTCCGACCCCGGAGCTGAGGAACAAAACAGATGCAGACAGGATGAGCGGAGGCGCCGAGAATCACACCAGGAAGGATCTGAAACCAAGAACTCCTTGTGTAACTCCTCCCCCTGACTCCTCCCTCTGACTCCTCCCTCTGACTCCTTGTGTAACTCCTCTTCTGACTCCCTCTGATTCCTCCTTGTGACTCTTCTGAATGAGTCCTCCTCTGACTCCTCCCTCCTGTGACTCCTCCCTCTGACTGATCATTCTGCTACTCAGTGTACTGTAACCCAAAAAGTGCAGTTACCACAGACACGAGCAAACTGCACAACAAGTGCAGAAAGAGGAAACAGGCGATATAATTTTGGGTTACATTTTGGGTTACAGACATTTTCTACCTCGCGCTGCCTTTAGGGCCTCAGTGAGTCTGTGTGCGCGTTCAGCCGGCCGCGGGACGTGGACACGTGACAGCACAGTTACAGGAAGGATGCTCACTCAGCTTTCTTTCTTTGAACCAAACCAACAACACTGTTTATGTTTACATTTTATGTTGCTACATTTTATTTTACTGCTAATATATTATTGTAAGGTGACCTTGAGGGTCTTCAAGGAGGCCATAAATAAAATGTATTATTATTATTACCAAACTATTTTAACAGCCTGGCTTCATCAAACACACCTCAAAAATAGAATTTGCATGACTAACGATGATGTAATCACCAAAGAAAGCATCCCGGTGCAGCTCTCTGAGCTTTTATAACGATGAAGTTGGTTCCACCATGGAAAAGATGGAGGATGGAGCCTCGTCACCATTTTATTCCCTTGCCACTTGAAATGTTCGATCTGAGCGCCAGACTCTGAGGAAGAGCTTTAACAATCGGTTTTCCAGACCCCGATTCATCCATGCATCCACCCAAGCATCCACCCAAGCATCCACCCATGGTCCCCCATGGCTCCTCTATACCCACTGCGAGCTCCGTTTCTATCCCGCTGGTTTGGATTGGTCTTCTTGTGCATTTCCCGTTTTAGAGACTTGGAACTCCCGAAGCTTTGACATGTTCCACGGCTGACCGTTTGTTTTCCTTTTATAATCGTCTCGCTGACAGGAACCAGCAGTCAGTCCGTGTTGGATTCAATCATGGAAGCACAGCCACTCATTAAGATCTGCAAACACGTTCTGCGAACTTCAGGCTGTTTCACACATTTACATCTGTGCGCTTGTTTCAGGAATGCAGGTGACAGTAAATCCATATTTTTCACCAACACTGTGTCATTACAATGATTAAATGACTTCTAAGAAGCCAGGATGTTCAGCTGAATCAGCATCCTCTGACTGTCCTGCATATTCATTATTTTCCAGCAGGTTTCCTGTGCAGCAGGTTTGCAAAGCAGCGACTCCCTCTGCTGGACAGTTTCTGTAACTGCAGCTCCTCCTGCCCTCAGACGGTTGGACTGACATCACCTTTGCAGGGCTGAGCCAGGTGAGACAACTGCTCAGTGAGATTTACATGTACTGTATTAGCACAGGCCTCAGTTCACCTGTCAGAGGAAGTGGTCAACAGTGAGGAAGGCGACATCAGTGAGACACACCAGCAGACACACTCTGGGTGTGCTAGTGATGGGCAGGAGAAGGAGGGCTGATTACTAGTGGATGTTTTTGTGCTTCATCTGCTTTGACCAGAGAGATGGTGAAATTGGAGGATGTGAGGTGGATGTGGTGGAGGAGTGTGATAACCTCGCCATCCACATCGAGCTCCGGCTGAGCTGGAAAAGCAGCACAGAGCAGATTCCTGAGCAAGCTGAGCTCCTTCGGCCAGTCGGAGATGTTCCATCACTCTGCATCGGAGCTGCAGACAGCAGCAGACCAGAGAAACCAATGAGGAGGTTGGGCTCTGTGGCTGGACACCGACCCAGCTGTGGCGGCAGCTTGTGGGTCACGCCTGTGCTGCTGCATGCCTGCTTGGAATAAAGCGTCACTCTTTGAACGACAGTCTCACCTGAGCTACGATGGAGTTTATCAGGCGGAGCCTTGAGGATCTTCTGCAGAGGATCAGGAGGTACCTGAACACACACCTGGATGGAGCCCCGCCCACTCACCGTCAGCACACCTGGTCTGAAAAACACACCAACACATGCTGGTGTTTTTATCTGTGAGGCTCTGAAACTTGTATTCATTTATTTATTTTTTATATTTAAAACTAAAAGAAAGAAAACCGTTAATCATCTGATGATGTCATCAGTACCTGTAGTAGCGGCGTACAGCGGTGTGGGGCAGGCAGGGGTAACACGGCCTGTAGATGTCGTTGGCGTCTGTGTCGAGCTCTGCAGAGCAGCGCCCGCAGCCGGTGTAAGTGATGTCACCGCTCAGCGCCACCATGATGCCTTCCAGTGACGTGGAGCAGTCCAGGACGGGCTGAGGTGCATTCTGGGAAGCCGGTGCATCCTGAAAGCAGAACGTGATGACCTGGACTCTGAGCTCCACATCACCTGATGGAGCGGAGAAGAGAACCTTTTAAAAATGTAAAAATAAAAACGAACAGGACCATGAATGGAACCCTGAGGAGCTCCGCGGCTCTTTAAACGTGGCGATAAAGCTGCTGTGGACGTTTCAGGCGAGTTTTCGTAGTTTCACTCACCGCTGTACTTCTGGGACAGCAGCGTGTCCAAGTCCAGCTCCGGAGTGCTGCTGTTTCCTTTCTGGCACCGTCGTGTCCGGTGGAAGTCCTGCACTCGGCGGTCAGTCGGGTCCACGGCCTGAACGGTGCTCCAGGGGGTGGAGTGCAGCTCTGGAAGGTCAGAGGTCAGACCCTCCCTTACCAGGAGGACACGGAAGTCCCAAACAGCCCCTGAGGAGGCAGGATTTACTGTCGGTGTGATTCACAGCAACAAACTCTTAAAGTAAAGCTAGAATCTAAAGTGACAGTTTCTTAGTTTGGTGGTACCAGGACGTCAGACATCCTCCTAAGCATTGTATCAACACAGCCTTTCTCCTTGTGTCCATTTCTAAGGAATCCATTTGAACTTCCTCTCACCAGCTGTGCTGCATGTGAAAGTGTCCAAAGGCTCATCCCTACAGTAGAAGTACTGCAGTACTCGTACCATCCCACAGACACTAGAGTGAAAGTGAGATTTCACCCCACAGTGGGGTCTGGCGACAGCTGTGTCCATCTTTGACGTACAGCCTTTGTTCCAGAGCGTACCTTTGTCTCTGCTGAAGCGAGGCAGCCAGTCCACAGCTGCTCCCCACAGTAACACCGCCCCCTGCTGGTCCTCTGGCTGCTCCACAGTCAGGACAGCATTCAGCTGAACCGCCGACCTGCTGCGAGACTCCGCCTCAGCACGCCACTCTGAAAAACATGGAAGGAAGCGTGCAGCGAACAGTTCAGCCGACTTAAATAATCTACATCACTGACTCGACTCGACTGCTGACAGCATTTCAAATGCTGAAACACTCAGACCTTCAATTAGAGCAGCACAGGTAAAGGTAGGACTCACCTGGGCTGATGTGTGTATGCGTGACTTGCAGCAGGGCGTGAACCAGTGCGTTTGCCCTCAGTGACCTCAGCGTGGCGTAGGGGAGGCGGTTCAGGTCTTGAGGGGGGCGACGTGGCAGAGACACCAAGAGGGGGCGCCGCTCTCGGAGAAAGCTGCACAGACACCTGAGAGAGCGAGCATTAACCTGCTGGGAAACTACAGAGAGAGAGGTAACTGAAGCAGGTCAGCTTTGGAGGCACGTGATTGGACGAAGGCTCGGCTTACCTGGTGGTGAAGAGGAGGAAGTGATCTGTCCCACGTTGAGCAGTTTGCTGCTGAAGGTTGACTGCAGCACAGTCTCCCCTCTCCACCTGTCCTCGTTCACCTGCAGCGCTGACAAAACACACAGAGAGCTTACGCACGTGGACACAACTCACCTCATGGCAGGGCGGCGACCATCTGAAGGTGACAGCCCCGCCCATTTATGAAGAAAAGTTGCAGACTGTAAATTAAAGATGGACAAAGCTGCCAAGCCTCAAAAATGAAGCCGAGGTGGGAGGAAGACCTGTTTTCTTCAGTGATCCAGAGAAACATGGATCCCTCCTGATACGACGCTGCGAACAGTAACTGAGAGAGTTTCTCTTTCTGCCTCCAGGTCTGTTTTGACGTCTTTTCTTCATCCATCCCTGACACAGAGCATCGTGCTCAAACTAAACCAGTCAGCTGTGTTTGTGTACCTGTGATGAGCAGAACGTCTCCAGGACCGACAGTCAACGCCCAGAACGCAGCCCGCCGCCATAGCACCACCTTCATCTCAACACCAGATTGATCTGTCACTACAATAGACGCTAAAGGCACAGAGGCGCCCGCCGACGGCCCTGACTTCACCTGTAGACATTAAACAAACATTCGTGAATTCAGCTTTTGAAATATTTCACCAGTAGATGGATAGAGTGTGATTAGAGCTCCAGTTTAGTCTAAGCTCAGCCCCCCTCTATCAGTAAAGGTGTAGCTCAGGGCTCGAGCTCACGTCTGTTCACCTGTATGCTGATGACACTGCCCTTTACGCTCGACCAGGCCGTCTTTCAGCAGTCGTCACCGATGAGCCCAACAGTCACCGCCCGGCTCTGCAGGGCTCGAGCTTGCTTTCTTTTCTTTATATGACATCCTCCTTCATGTTTCTGGTCCCTACCCTGGTGGGGCTTGTTTACGGCCTTTTGTTACACTTTTGTTAAATACTGCTGTCACCAGTTACTGGCCAGTCCAGAGCATCACTGCTTTCCAGAGGTTGTCCTAAACTGGTCACTAAGGTTAAATATTTTGCCTTTCTCACACCTCATATCAGAGGAAGTAAAACATCTCATGCTCATGATTAGAATTTATTTCTTTATCCAGGTGTTTATTATTTCATTTCTTTCTAACCAAACATGGTTTCTTTACTGAGTTGGTGCTGATGGTGTTAATGTTGCTTTCCAGGTGGTCCCATCATACTTTTTTTTCTCTTCCTTTGACCTTAAATTGGACGCTGCGTTATCCCACTGTAGCACGCTGTGGTACAAACTGGTGTTACCTGGAAACACACCTGGACTCACCTTGACTTCCTTCAAGTGACAGGGGTGAACCACCGCCACCAGAACTGAGTACCGCACCCCTGGTCTGTCGCATCGGGCCAGGAGTGTGGTGGGACTGTGGAGTCTGGTGTTGGCACCTCTGTCAGGTGACTGTGGGGAGATTCTGGCTTTTTTGCTGCTGGGGGACACGGCGGGGGACTCGGCGTTAGTTGTGGACTCTTGAGAACAGAGGACCCCATCGGTGGTGGCCTCAAGGACAACACCGCCTTCCTCCACTCTCGGGGTCAGACAGGGGTGACTGAAGAGCTCGGCAGAGGCTGCAGGTGATGGCGTCGCTGGGCTGAAGAGCTCTGGGGTGCTGGACGAGACGGAGGGAGGCGTTTGGGTGTGTTTGGGCGGGGTTTTCTCTAGGCTGGATGCTGATTGGACACTGCGTCTCAGGATTAACGCCTGGCTCAGAGTCCAGGTGGTGAGGTAATGAGTCTGGGAGGAAAGAGGTGCGGCAGCTGGCGGTTGTTCAGGTTTTCGATGATCTGGTTGAGTGGCAGGGAAACAGCGGTCCAGGTACTCGTGAACCGAAGCTGATGGCTGATCGTCCCGTCCAGCGTCTGACTCCTGAAACTTCTTCTCAGGCCGCAGATCCTCCTTCAGACTTCCTGTCTCTCCTTCCTGTCCGACTCTGTTTTCTGTCCAATTGCCTTCAGTGATTGTCGGATCATGGTGTGTACTCGCCTCTCCTGTCTCATTTCCAGGATCACCTGAAAAATTTACAAATGTTCTGGATTATTTTTCTTAGTCTGACGTTCAGAGAAGCGTTCACGACTCTGCCTCCTGAGGGATCCTGATCACTAAATCTAACAGGTGAGTTTTAAAACTGAAGTTACCTGCAGCCCATAAAGAGACACAAAGACGTCCTCACAGAGACTTGTTTTCCAGACAGCCATGGCCTGTGGCTGCCTGCACATTTACAGCTCAGTAATTCAGTTAATAAAAAGACCAAAGCAGCAGTGAGTGCTCCTCCCCCCTGTTTGGTCCCTGAACGTCTCACCTGCAGGTCTGAGCTGCCCGTCCCTCCAGGTGAGCTCCAGGTGTCTCCAGCGAGCAGGAGCACGATCGTCTTCCTCTAACCCGGCGCCGGGCTCTGAGGCTGGGCTGCAGGCGGGCGGAGGAGCCCCGAGGAAGACGTGGATCTTTCTCTGGTCACACATGCTCCCTGCTGGAGAGGCGGACACGTACGGAAGTTTAACCACTTCACTCTAAATCCATGCATGGATGCTTTTTCACAAGTGACTGATTAATCATCAGCTGCTGCTGCACAGAGCCTTTCAAAATAAGAGCTCCACTCGTAAAATGACTGTGAAAAATAAAAAGCATTCAGTTATACTCGGATGGTCAGAAAATTTGGTGCATTTCCTTCAAAACAGGGCTGAAAAAAGGAAACGTGCGTCAGCATGAACAACAGTCCTGTGGTCGCCTGGTCCAGTGTTCCTGCAAACTAATGGGATTAACTGTTTTTCCTTAAAAAGTCCTTTAAATACTTAAAATTCTGAAAACTAGCTGTCACCAGTGTTCCTCTCTCATGAAGTCAGTATTTATTTGGGCTAAAAGAAGATATTTAATGATAAAAATGTTTAATTCTCTTAATCTAAAGAAAACGTAAAATGATGCACTTTATTCTGGAGCTAAATCAGCTTAATGCAGACAGAAGCCCAGCACAAAAAAGTAAATAATAATAAATAAGTTTTACCAACAAAATATTGATTAAATGACCCATCTGTGAGTCTCAGACTGTGAGACCAAAGATTTTTATCTTCTGAGACCTGCAGAAAGTCTGGACTCTGACAGGAAGCCAGGACGTCTGCGCTTTTCAGACGTCAGAGAATCCGAAGCTTCGTTAGAACTGAAATGTCTCTCAGCCAAACTCAATAACAAGTTACACAACAATGACCGAGCAGAAACGCAGAAGTGAAGACTGATGATGTGTCTCACAGCTGGGAACGATAACAGGGCTGTAAACAGCCCTCCAGCAGCTCCACCAATCAGAGCGCGAGACGCCGGGGGAGGGTCGCCCATCGGTGAGGGTTTACAGAGGCGCAGACACGTTTTAGACCCGCAGCCTTCAAAAGCACTAAAATCACTTTGAATCCAGGCCGACAGCTTCTGTTTTAGCATCGGGGTCAAAGGTGAGCACACCTCAGCACCTGCAGCACCTGACGCCTCAGCCACTCCTCCACACCGAGTAACCGTAACGACTTCACGTTCATTTTCTGATTCACACAACAGAAAACGCTGAAGTGCTCAGACTGCAGATACCTGCCAATCAGCAACATCCAATTCAAATCCTAGAATTTCACTCTGGCCTGGAACTGGAGAAAACACAGACAGGAAATGCACTTTCATAATAAAGCCATTTTTAATGACGTTCTTTTTTATTTGCTCAGTTAGCAGTTGAAGCCAAACATGGCCGACAGCATTTTCCTGGCAGCGGCCTGCTGGCGTCTCTTCCTGTGTCTGGTTTACCTGCAGACTCGCGCTCCTCCCGTAGGATCGCATCACTCGGAGCTCGTACAATCTCCTCTTCATCACACGGTATTTCCAGACTTCCTGGGAGCAGGTATCGGTGTTCTCTTCGTCCTTCAGTGACTGATGTTCCTGCACTTCGTTTTGGTCCTCCAGCGTTTCTTCTTCTGGGGTTTCACCCTGCAGCTGGACACTGAGCTTCTTGGAGATCTCGTCGATCATCTTTTCGCTCATGTTTCTCCTTCCTCCTGCGCTCAGAGATCTGTGCTGCTGCTGGATTTGAACGTCCAACTTCTCCAGCTGTTTGACCTCATTGCTCAGCCCACTGTAAAGCGCCTGAGACACTTTGTCCTGTGAGGTTCCACTTCTAACCTTTAAAACGTTGGGACGTCATTCTTAATGCTCCTCTGTCTGACCTCCAGCTGCAGCGTTTTCTTTAGAAATCATGGATGAGTCATGGAGCAAACTCTTCAAACAGCATTTCCATCAAAGCGTCTTCCATGTCCACCTTTGACTGAAGCTTCCGCCATTTCTCGCTCCGGACCTCGATCTCTCCATAGAGGTTCTCCCCGTCCTCCCTCCAGGTCACTCAGGTACTGTAAGCCTGCTCTTTCAGCGAGTCAAAGCAAAGCTGAGCGTGCTCCCTCTCTGACCTTCTGAGTGGTTTAAACCTGCATTCTCTCTGATGTCCAGCAGGGGGCAACATAGTCTAAGCATCATCGTGTTCGTTGCATTTTGCATTCTCAGACGAGACACACAGACTTGGATGCAAAAATTCTGATTGGCTGTTTTGGTCTCCAATCAGCTCGCTAGCTACTGTAGCCAAACCCAGGCAAATATCCCAGAATGCAATTCGTCCAAAACCCAAACGAGACAGTTGCGAGACCCAAACTTTTAAGATATTTTCAGGTGAGAATGGTGCTGTGCAAACTTCAAATATCTGCTCGATGTATCAAGACATCACATGTTTGCACTAGTGCTCAGAAGTGTGTGCTCAGAATAGAGGCACTAAAATAACGCCATACATTACATCCTAACCAGCAGTAGAAAAATGAGGGAACAAATATATGATGAGCCAGTATCTGATTGGCTGATAGCATCTGAGTGCTGGGGTTTGTCCCTAACACTGTAAAATCATCTTCAGACAATGTTTTTGTAAACTGAGGAATCTGCACTGACAATATTTACTTATCGTGTAAATGTTGTGTTTACAGTCTTGGGTTTCATGGTGATATGTATGTGAATTTTTGCATGTATTCTTATAATTGTTACTTTTTTCTTTTACCCCTGGCTTTGTGTGTTCATGTTCTGTTGTTTTGTATACTTCATCCGTTTGTATGTTGTATATAAACTTTATTTAACAAACAATGAGTATTTTTTTTTTTTAAAAACTTCCCCTGAGCACAACATCAGCTATGAAGTTAGTGTTGCTATGGACAATATCATGGTAGCCAAAACAAAAGAACAAATAAAAACATCAACAACAGGACACAAATGGAGTGTAAAATGCTTTAAAAATAGGAGTCCGTCTTTTATGTACAGTCTTTGTGATATTCAGCCCTTTCTAAATGTGTTAGCGCCCGTCTACTTCAGGTCCGCCTTCCTACACCCCACTGTTTCCTGATTGGCCAGCTGTATGAATAAGTCTGTGACATGCTGACATCAGCGCATCACTAAAGAAGTAAGAACAGTGTAAAGTCAGAATCAGAATCAGAAAGGGTTTTATTGCCAAATGTTGAGCGGGTTTACAACATTAGGAAATTGCTGTGGTGCTTCAGTGCAGACATACTGTTATAAATACTGTTATAAATTAAGCTTAAATAGACATGAAAATAAAAATAAGAATAAGAATTAAAAGTGCTAAGTAGATAGATATATACATGATATATACATGAGTGCAGGTGGTGATCAGTGCCAAACATGGAATGATGCAGTGAACACAGCGTAGGGTCATGTGTTAGTGGTGGGAACAGTCATACGGTTATTGTTCATGTGTCCAACAGCAGAGGGGAAGAAACTGTTCTTATGGCGAGAGGTTCTGGTGCGAATGGACCGGAGCCTCCTGCCTGAGGGGAGCAGGTCAAACAGACTGTGTCCAGGGTGAGAAGGGTCAGCTGAGATCCGAGCTGCACGCCGCAGTGTCCTGGAGGTGTACAGGTCCTGCAGAGATGGGAGTCTGCAGCCAATCACCTTCTCAGCACAGCGCACAATTGCGCAAGTGAGCGTGTAGACACGGTCAAACCTGAGCTCGTGAACAAAAAGTTCGTGAGTGACCTGTTGGCCACATGCAAACATCCATCACTTTCACTTTTCACCGTTTTGGTTCTGTGGATTTTGCTTTAATTTCTCTTCGATATTTTTTAAATCGATGCTCAAACTGAAGTTAGAGTAAAACGCAGACATTTCTACTCTGGACTTGTTTTCAAAGAAGTGTCTGTGAGCTGCAGAAAGGTCAGAAAATCTGAACAGAAAAAGTGTGACGACCCAACAGATTTAGCTGGCGACCTTTAGCAGGAGCCTGACCCCTATGTTGGGGAGCGCTGGACTGAATGTACTGCTGGTACTTCTGCACTTTCACATACGTTTTTTGTGCAATTTTGCATGCTGGGTTTTTTGTTTGTTTTTTACAGCGCATTGTGTTCTGCGTCCTGATCGACTGTAGACCACTGTCAATCAATCCCTGTCTCCTGTACAGTACACAATGCGTTCAGCTTGTCAAATGTATATAAATCTTCGATCCTACAGTGTAACTCCGTACTGAAGTGCTGGACTGTGTGTTTTTAAGTTTTCTCCCCAACAAACACAAACAATGTCGTTTTGCACCCTCAAAGGCAACCGCGGGTGCCTTTGGTTTCATTCTACAATACTGGACTTTTTTTCTATGAAGTTTTGAAGTTTGAGTGTTTAAACAAGAGGACAAAGTGTGAAAAACTTCACGTGTATCTGAGAAAAGTGTACAAAGCTTGTAGTGAGGGGTTTTACAGCCTTAAAACACCTACAATAATTTAAAAAAATAAAGTTGGCTACTTCGCGGGTTATTTTTGGAACGTAACACCCGCGATAAACGAGGGACCACTGTATCAGGAGAAAATGGCTGAAAATCTGCAGTGAACGTTGGGCTTTTATTTGGAAAGTTGAGTCCAGACGACCGGATATGCAAAACTGTGGCGATGCTAGCTTAAACCGCCACACATTAACTCTAAACGTGTTAAATACCATCAAAATGTCCATTTTTGGGTGGATGCTTCCGTTTTAGAGCGGTATTTGGTCCTCTCCGTGTGCTTCTCTGCACTTTATTTAATAAGTTGTTCAGTTTTAACGACTTTTCCGGGTGTTGCCAAAAGCTAACGATAAGCTGAGCTACGCGCCTCCTTCCCGGTGCTGCCGTTACAGTCTCGTGCGGGTTTTTGTGTATGAAATTGAGCCGCACGTCTTGCCCGGCGCCGCACGCGGCGGTGTAGCTTGACAGGAAGGGGCGGCGGGAAGGAGGAGCCGCTGCTGCGGTACAGCTCTGTGTTTACGCGGCTCCATTTCCTCGTCTTCCCCGCGGTCTCGTCTCACCTCCCTGGGACAGCGAACTTCTACAAACCGTGAAAATGTACCGGTACTTCGGAGAGCTACTCACCCGGGGAGCGGGCGGCGTCCTGGCCTCGGGGTACCCCGCCGCCGCTGCTGACTCTGTTCTGCCGGCGTCCGCGTCCCTGCTGCGGCACCGCGGCTACAGCCAGGCCGTAGATCCGGCCGACGACCCGAACTTCTTCACTATGGTAGAGGGCTTCTTCGATAAGGGCGCCGCTATCGTGGAGGACAAGCTGGTGGAAGACCTGAAGACTCGAGAGACTGCCGAGCAGAAGAGGAGCCGGGTCCGCGGGATCCTGCGGATCATCAAGCCGTGCAACCACGTCCTGAGCGTCAGTTTCCCCATCAAGAGAGACAGCGGGGAGTGGGAGGTGATCGAGGGCTACCGGGCTCAGCACAGCCAGCACCGGACGCCCTGCAAGGGAGGTGAGTCTCCCGCGCCCGGCGCCTGTTAGCACCGCTGAAAAAAGTTTCACTCAACAACGTGAAGCGACGTTCGCGCAGAGCCGGCGTGACACGATTTGAACCCACATGAAAAATGAATGTAAAGGGTTTGAAAGCAGCCTGATTCAGACAGACTAGATTTTTGTGCTTTTACTGTGATTTAAAACTAGACTCCCGTCTTTTAACCAACTAAAACCACATTGTGCATGCGCAAAGAAACTAAAATCAGATGTGCAGGAAATGTTATTCACACCAGCCCGAGGAAGCTTTCGTCCAGTGAGACAGCCACTTTAGGATTTTACTCTCCTCTCACTAATTAATGTGCATTCATCCCCAAAGCAGGGATTTCCTGTGTGAACCTGAAACACAGCTTTAATAACATCAGATGGTTGAGGTAAAGGTTCAAAGATAGCTCGGTTAAACCAATAACGACGTCAAGCAAACAGCAATGAACAATAATGCAAATATTGCACTGTAAAAGAGCTGTAGTATAAGAGTGGGCGAGAGTGAGGCGTGAATGCTGCGTGTGTGTGCATGTCTGGGGCTTGCTGAGCCATGACCCCTGTGGGATGTGGCCCCGCACCCTGCTGGAGGCTTCTGTTCTGGCCTGTAGCGGGTCCACTGCCTGCTGCAGATCACAGTTCTGACTGCAAAAGCTGCTGGACAGGATCTGTGTGTGTGACGTGTACGTACATGCTGAAAGGAGCGTTGTCTCCTGGTGCTGACGTTTCCGCCTCAGGCAGGAATGTTGTCAGTCCGGTTCGAGCTCAGGGCGTCGTGTTTTTGTTCTGAGCTCTGTGCCATCACTCTGTTTGGTCCGAGGTTCAGACTCTGCAGTACATGTGGAGACGGGGGTCACAGTGGTCTGACAGGTGGAGGTGTCGTGAACGAAATGCTCGGTTTATTCGGAGCACGAAAGACCACGTTTGGAGACTTGAACAGATACGATGGCGCAGCAGAGGATTCGAAGCTGCTTTGAGTGACTTTGAATGCAGACTTGCTGTGACACACCTCAGCCTGAGCCGCACTCACTCTTTAACATGTCAGCTCATGATGCTGACGGGGTGTCAGGTTATTGCCTGAGCTGCACCTTAATCCACCCACACACTGTCTCTGATGACCAGTTTCCTCCTGTGTGCTGGACAGAAACTGTCCTGCTCTGAGCTCACACCCCAGCCTCACAGTGGAAACGCTGGTTTTACTGGGGTTTCCACTGTGAGGCCGTGCCTGCTGGCTCCGGTCACACACAGACCTGAGCTTTTCCTGCTATTACAGGTTTACTCGGCTCATGTTTCTGCTGACAAATTGGTGCCAGTTTGAGCCTCGAGCCGCCCAGCGAAGGTTTCCTGGAAAAAATCCAGCTGAGTAAACGACTGCAAGCCGTCAGCGGCCTCCGGGGGGGCGGAGCTTGGACAGAAGTTCATAGAAAGGAGGGAAGCAATTATTAGGAAATGTTCCCCTCAGGTAGATTGTAGTTAGACGGTTTATGAGAACACAGAGAGCCTGTTTAATGCGTTCATGTGACCTGAACCACCAAACAAACAGAGATTTATTCACGTCTGCTGCTTCGGCACATAATTTAATCAGTTAAACTTATAATGTTTCAAATTCACTCACATGATGGACGTGATGAATATACAGTCTCCGGACACTTTATTATGCACATCTTGCTAATATTCAAGTCTTCTCGATTCAACAAGATGCTGCAAACGCTCCTCACAGACTGTTTAACCTGATGTCATTAGTATTATTGCATTAATGATATTTGTAATAATAATAATAATGATGGATTGCATTTATAAAGCGCTTTTCGAGACCCTCAAAGCGCTTTACAATGCCACTATTCATTCACTCTCACATTCACACACTGGTGGAGGCAGCTACAGGTGTAGCCACAGCTGCCCTGGGGCAGACTGACAGAGGCGAGGCTGCCATATCGCGCCATCGGCCCCTCTGGCCAACACCAGTAGGCAGCAGGTGAAGTGTCTCGCCCAAGGACACAACGAGCAAGACTGTCCGAGCCGGGGCTCGAACCGGCAACCTTCCGATTACAAGACGAGCTGCCAACTCTTGAGCCACGATCGCCCCCATTGTATATGAGCTTTGGGTTATTAATCTTATATGTAATTGACTCCTGCTCATCAGTGATTGAGGGGGAATACAGGGCTCCATTAAGAGGCCACAAAAGGCTTTTTATTCCTGTTCACCCGTCATTCGCTGGTGACTCCACTCCACAGTGGCCTTTATGATGGCATTGTCCATCTTTGATATACAGTCTGCAGTTGGAGTTGATTGCTGGGATGACAGAGGGTTGGTTTTATTTCTATTTATTGGCATTTGTTTGTCCCAAAGAGCTTTGCTGACGGTAAGAAGAGGCGCTGTACGAGCCACAGACGTGTTTTACTCAGTAGACTGGGAGTTGTGGTGTGCTGGTGGTTTGGTCACAGCGGTCTTTCCCGTGACTCTTGTCTGCTGCTGTGTCGTCAGCTGTGTGTCTGCAGGTCCTTCAGCGAGTCCAGCTTACAGCTTTTACTCATCACATCCAGTGTTGTGTGCGAATAAAGAGACGTGGTGGAGCAGGTGGAGGGTGTGGTGGTTTTCCTATAAAGCAGCGTGTGTCTGAGGCGAGGTGGCCACACCCGCCCTGAGTCACACCGAGTTTCTCTGCTTCCTCCTCCACGCGTCCTTCTCACTTCTGCATTTCTCCGTCTTCCTTCTCTGCTTTTGTCTCCTCATCCATCATGTTGTCACTTCCTCCCGCCGCTGCTTTCACATTTCAACCTGCCTCCATGTGTTTTTGTTTTCCTTCCCACTCGCCTCCGAGCGCAGCCATTTTGTCCCTGCAGCCTGTGTTTGCAGTGATGCGTGAGAGCTGCTGGCCCGCTTCCACGCTGACCTCCCTCCACTTTCTGAGCGCTCGCCTCAGCGGCTCCTTTATAAATGTTCACATAGCTGCACGTCCACCTTAAAGCTCAAACACACTTCCATTATGGACGGAACGTTACCCAAATGTGGGCAGAGGCCTCCTGGTGGGCAAAGCAGGTAGTGCAGGTGGGCTGGCACAGATGGTGAACTTTAACCATTGAAAGTCTCGTGAAATAACGCCGTGTGTCTGTTGCAGGTATCCGTTACAGCACAGAGGTGTCTGTGGACGAGGTGAAAGCTCTGGCCTCGCTGATGACCTACAAATGTGCCGTCGTAGGTGAGGACACACTGAACCCAGCACCCCGTCGCCCTCTGCTGTGTTTGAGTGAATCTGCTGCTTGTTGTCTTGTGAACTAAAGTGACTTTGTTTCCAGATGTGCCTTTTGGTGGAGCCAAAGCCGGCGTGAAGATCAACCCGAAGAAGTACTCGGTAAGTGCGACGCTTCCACGCCGGCCGGCCCTCCTCGGTGATCCTTGTGGTTTTATTTCTTGATCAGCGCTCGGCCTCGAACTAAACTGGAAATAGGATTATTGGGGCGATTGTGTTGCCATGGAAACCTAATGCCTTGTGGGTAAGTGAACGAAGCGCGAGTGTGCAAGTGTTCTTTCCCACGATGCTGCAGTCGGCCCCGCTCATCAGCTTGTTGTTTGTAATGGTTCCACGGCTGTAGATGGAGAACCCGGAGCAGCTGCCTGCTGTTTTACAGTAAACGTTCCGACCTGAGCGGAAACGCTGAGCCATCAGCTGGCAGAGAGACGCCAGGATTCACTCTGAAACGTGATGACTCGTGACTTTCTCCCCACATTGATGTCAGGGCCCTCTGCCACCCCCTCCCTCTCTAAATGTTTGCTCGACCTTCGCTCTTTGCTGCTTTCTCTGCTGGAAAACTTCGATCAGCTGACACGAGCATAACTGGGAGGACTGCTGACCTCTGACCTCTTGATATGAGAGAAATACAGGAAATGGACCAACAGACATGATGAAATGTTAAAAGTAGAGCTGTTCTTGTCCTGCCGAGCGCTAGGTCAGACTTTGATTGCGTTTGATTTATACCACAAGAAAAATCACACGAGTTCGTTTTGCTTGATTATCGTGTTTCCTCCTTTGTTTAAAGACAGAATGATCGTTTAAATAAAAACGAAAGCGCAGTTACAGGACGCCATATTTACTGTAACATACGGATGTTTGCATCGCTTCACTTTCATGGTTACATAAGAAATAAACTCCAGAGATGCCTGAGGGCCTCTTAATGTAGTGGTTTATGCTGTTGTTCGCCTGAAGGTTGCTGGTTCAACCCCCTTGGAGACACGGATCCTGTGTCTGGTTTAAAACTGCCACTCGCGGTGACGACCAATTATGACAAACCCGTGAGGAACCATATCAGAACATCACCAGAAGCTTCCTCGGGTCATTAACGCAGAGAGCTCATTTTCACTCAAACCCGTCGTGACCACAGCGCTCAGGGACCGCCTACAAAATGCCGCAATGGAAAAATAAAGTGGAGGATCACAAGGATCACGCCAAGCATTTCCCTTTGATCACACTGCAACACGTAGCGTGTGGAAGTGGGGACTTTCCTTCATGTTCCCAGTTGCTGCTCTTTGGTTTCCCTCGTCAGACACAGACCAGACAAATGTGGGCGTGCACTCGTGCTGTCCTATAAAAGTGCCTGCTGTGTTTAACGGGGGTCAGACTGGGGTGTGTACTCCAGCCAGCACCGCTGAAAGGTGAAATGCATCAAAATAAAAATATGTGTATTTTTTTAAATTGTGTTTTCAGGACAACGAGCTGGAGAAGATAACCCGAAGGTTTACCATCGAGCTCGCCAAGAAGGGCTTCATCGGTGAGTGATGTCACACAGCGATGTCACACCTGTCAGCTCCACTGAAGGTGGTGCGGCTCTTAGAGCAGGAGGTGGGCTGCAGAGTGGCTTGCAAGTGGCTTAAATCTTACTGACAGGAAGTTCAGACCGAGTCAGCTGACGTGGGCTAATTTTCACTTCGCGTCCTCCCTGAACCGATGCGCTCTTGCAGGGCCCGGCATCGACGTTCCTGCTCCGGATATGAGCACCGGGGAGCGCGAGATGTCCTGGATCGCCGACACCTTTGCCACCGTCATGGGACACAATGTGAGTACTGACCCAGCAAAAAAGACGTGACGTCCAAATGCGTATGATTACACAGTAGGGCTGGGCGATATGGCCTAAAATCCATATCGCGGTATAATTTGAATCATGTGCGGTAACGATATATATCACGATATAGTCTGTTCTTCTTTATAACGTATTTCCCGCACTATAAGGACTTAAAATCCTTTAATTTTCTCAAAAGTCGACAGTGTGCCTTATGTATGAATTCTGGTTGTGCTTACTGACCTCGAACAGATTTTCTGTGCTACACGGCGCTCATCAATCTGTCAAAAATGTTTTAGTCCGACTTTGCTAAGCTAGTCAGGAGCCTCGCGGAGTAATCTGGGTCCTAAACTCTGTCAGATTCAGGTCCCAAAGTCAAACGAACACTGAGAGTTAAAAACGGTCTAAATTCTTTCATCTTTAATAAAACGATCAGCGTTCTGCTCTACCAGGTGTAACAATGAAGTTTAGCATCCAGGCATCCATGAAAACAGGATTTATTACATTTAACGGAGTTAGAAGTTAGCAGGGAGTTAGCTCGCTAGTTTCCACCTAAACATTTCATAGCATGTTCTGACTGAGAGATTTTTGAAACTAATTCAAACGTACAGCTCTGCTGTCACTTCCAACATAAATGAAGACAGAAAACTAAACAGCAGTGGCGTTTGTAGGGTTACTGAAGTTGGACTACCTGGTATATAATGATGTGCTACGTGATCGCTAGCGACACAGGTATGTTAGCATAAACACAGAGAAGCTGGAGGATGAAGCTAACTTTTTTTTTCATTCGATAAAAGTTAACGTGACGGTTCCTGATGGTTAGAGACAAATGCAATCGCATGGCAGGATGCTGTAAACGGACCAAACTTCAGTCAGGAGAACAACTGAGATAATCCATCCACAGTACGAGGTTAGTTATTCATATACTGCTGCATGGGAACAGAGCAGCTGCCAGAGAATTCAGCATTAGTGAATCAATGATAGGGAAGTGGAGGAAGCGCAGTTTTTGGCTTTCCCCATATTTCAAAAGTGCTTCGTCTCTTTGCTTTTACTGTCGCCGCCATAATTTGCAGATGTTATTGCTGCAGCCGCTGCCATGCTTTCAAGCAGAAACAGGCGCAGCTTGATGACACCATCAACATGCGCTATCGTGGTAGAGCGGTATTGTCAAAATCTCTACTGGTGGCCAGATTTATATCGTTTCTACCGTATACCGTTTATACGACCCACTCCTACATGTATTTGTAAAAACGGTCACGAGAACATTTCATGTGTTATTTCAGAATTAGGCTGTTGTTTTTGTTTTTGACCTCGGCGTGTCGTCCATGTTCAGGACATCAACGCCCACGCCTGCGTCACCGGGAAGCCCATCAGTCAGGGAGGAATTCACGGCCGCATCTCCGCCACCGGCCGGGGAGTCTTCCACGGCATCGAGAACTTCATCAACGAGGCGTCATACATGAGCCAGCTCGGGATGTACCCCGGGTTCCAGGACAAGACCTTCGTCATCCAGGTATGCTCCACCATCGTCACAACAGAACGTCTGCAACGTTCTGACGAGTTTCTCACACTTCGTTTAAAAGCAGGATGAACAGTGAACGCAGCACGATGACCACGAGCCCGAAACCTCCGTGTAAAGTTCTCACAGAAGAGCTGAGGGACGTCAGCGGGAGTGGGCCGATGTGAAGAAGGGTTGCTCATGTTATAAATGATGAGCAGATTAAGCCTAAGTGACGTTTCCTCATCCGTTCGGGTCCGAGTGATGTAACTCTCATCATCAGACGGCGAGCATGAGGCAACGTGCAGATGTGCATGTAGCTGCCTGCTCTGACCACACTGACTCGGCTGTGGATAATTTACATCACTCTGCAGCAACTGCACATCAGACGGGGACATCGAGGAGGAGTAACAGGATCTCCAGCTGTCCCTGTCCATCTTTTATTTACAGTGTGAGAGCAGACGGCTCGGTCTGGATCCATTTATGAAGAACAAATGAGAAAAACTTTTCTTCCTCCTTGTCACTTCTTCCATCCTTCCCCCCTCAGGTGACTCATGTCCAGCTGCATGTTTTCATTTAATCAACAGGCGACCGCAACAAAGAGACCTCAGGATGCCCTTCATGACGTTCAGCACAAGTGTTGCTGGAGAGCAGGGAGGAGGCTCCGCCTGTCCTCTGTGCTGATGATGTTTGGGTTTTTTCAAAAGGCAAATCATCCAGCGACTAAGACGCAGAAGGACCACGAGGAGACGACGCTGACTGAAAACAGACCTGAGCAGATACAGCGACGTCGTGCCCACAACATCTGCTGCTGCGAAAACTCAACCACTAAAGTCACAGAACAACCGCCGAGGACTTCAGTCGAGATTACAGACGCACCTCCAGGTTTACCCCTGAAGGTGGTGCTCCTCTACGTCACCGCCTCAGGACCAAGTGAGGTCAGAGGGCAAACTGAAGCTATCAGCTTTTCCCTGAAGTTTTGTGAGCGCGTTTCCTGTTTTTATCTTCTGGCACTGACTTTGGTTGAACACACTGGAACATTTTCCCTCAAAGGGCCTGAATGACTTGGATAGAGATGGATGAGTGTCTGGATCCTCGCCACAGTAATGCAGCCACTTTAGACTGTCACAGAATCTGAGTTACTTATTTTTTCTACCCATACCGTGCTGGTGCCCAGTCTAAAACCAGTGCTGTGTCTGTCCACCAAATGGCTGACCCGGCTTCTAATAACTCTACATAAAAGTGTGCAGTTTCCTATTCAGGAGAACGCTGTGTGATTTCTGACAGTGAAGCAGACACGTGGGTTAATGCGCCCTCTGCTCTGCCTGCAGGGCTTCGGTAACGTGGGGCTTCACAGCATGCGCTACCTTCACCGCTTTGGAGCGAGGTGCGTCGGAGTCGGAGAATTGGACGGAAGCATCTGGAACCCCGAAGGCATCAACCCCAAAGAGCTGGAGGACTACAAACTGGTGGGTACACAGAAACTGGAGCAGTGTGCCACCTGCTGGCAGTACTGTGTCACTGCAGTGTACTAACAGTCCAGCTGGTTTGTTTTATGATTCGTGTGAAGCAGCTGCTGTTTTCATCAGTTTGAATGGTTTGTCGTTTCCAGGCCAACGGGACCATCGTGGGTTTCCCGGACTCGACGCCATACGAAGGAAGCATCCTCGAGGCCGACTGCGACATCCTGATCCCCGCCGCCAGTGAGAAACAGCTGACCAAAAGCAACGCCCACAAGATCAAGGCCAAGGTGCCACGGTTACCAGATCAGCTCATCACGTATACGTGCGACGATAACTCATGCACGCAATATTTAATTCAGTCTTTAGTCACAAATTATTCCGACTCTCGGGAATAACGGCACTGGCAGGAAAACAAAATCCTTCATGCAAGAAGCAGAATTCATAGAAGGAAGAAACCCACAAACTTGTACAGAAAACAAGGTTTAGTAGATTATAAATATACTGCGTATGTATGAATTTAAAGGAGTGAATGTTCTCAGATGTGAAGAGAAAAAAGTGCTTTACATAAATAAAACCTACAAATAAAAGTAAATAAAAACCTTTAAAAAGTACAAACAGCAGAAAATTATAAAGAGAAACAAACAGAAGTTGAGGAAACGACTTTTAATTTAAAAATAGTCGTTGTTGGATTTTCTGACTGTTTGGGAACAGCTGCTGGGAAACATCCTTAAAGCTGGAGATGAACGTTATATTAAAATCCAGTGGGCCAATGATGGAGGAACTCCACATGCACCCCTGTATACCGCTGTCTCATGCACACATGAGGAACAGTGCCGGTCCAGAGGCTGGAAGCCGTAAACATTTCAGATAAATTCAAGTAATCTAAATAAATAGCGCTAAAAATGTCCGTCCTGGGAAACCGTTTGTGGGTTTCCATCAGTAAACTGACCTGGAGTCTGTGGTACCTTCAGATCATCGCAGAGGGAGCCAACGGGCCGACTACACCTGAAGCTGACCAGATCTTCCTGGAGAGAAACATCCTGGTGATCCCGGTCAGTGGACGCAAACGCTCGTGACCTTTGTCAAAGGTTAATTAGTCTCAGACTGAAGTAAACGAGACGTCTGTGTTATCCCCTCTCTCTTCTCCTCTCGTGGGTCAGGACATGTACCTGAACGCTGGCGGTGTGACGGTTTCCTACTTCGAGTGGTTGAAGAACCTGAACCACGTCAGTTACGGGCGACTCACCTTCAAATACGAGCGAGACTCCAACTATCACCTGCTGAGTGAGTCTGAGCATCCACTCAGGAAGCCTCCCACCAACGCTCTGATCTTTGTTGTCAGTAACGCTCTCGTCTCCCTGCAGTGTCGGTCCAGGAGAGTCTGGAGAGGAAGTTCGGCAAACACGGCGGCTCCGTCCCCGTCGTCCCCACCTCTGAGTTCCAGGCTCGGATCGCCGTGAGTACACACATACTCGTAGTACTCGAGTACTGTCTCCTCCTCTTCCTCAGGTGTGTAAGCTCCACTCTGTGGTTTCAGGGAGCGTCTGAGAAGGACATCGTTCACTCGGGTCTGGCCTACACCATGGAGCGCTCTGCACGGGTAAGCACGCCAAACCTGCAGCGCCGCACGAAGGGAAAGTCATACAACGTCACCGCGACCAGTTTATGACTCAAAATAAGCGATAACGCAGATGATGACAGAGAATCGTTATTGTCACAGTCGATGTGGAACTGAGATAAATATACACGATGATGATGATGAGCGACTTCATCCGTTGATCCCAGTTTAGGTTTAACGCGGGTGATCAGACGACCCAAAGGTTACATTAAACTTTCACATCTCACATCTGCAAACACCTGGATCATAACCCGACTGTTATGAAGAGTACGTCAGAATAAATGCAGATGTACGTGTATTTTTATTTATTATAGTTGGCGCCCTCAGAGACCACACCTCCCCGAAGGGCGTGACCCTGACCTGATTTTGTTGGTTCGTTTCTACGGTGACACAAAAGTTAAACAGAAGCTGTAACTTTTGTCATTTCCACTGTCAAAGCAAATGAAATCTTTGGAACGACAGATATTCCTCCCGTGCTTCCTTCTGAAGAAATCTGAACGTGACAGCGCTAGCGGCTACACGCTTCCTCCCACCGAGGGGGGAAAAGGAAGTGAGCACATCGCCAGGAACTCCTGACGGATCGTTTATGACACGAGACAGCACAGTTTAAACGCAGTGTCAGGGTTATTAGAATAAATCTACCCCTCACCCTGATGAACACATGGATGATAAATCAATGCGTCGCGTGCTCGCTGATAAAAGTCTGTAATATTTGATTTCATGAAACAAACGTGTTTGAGTCACTTCCTGTCTCTTCTCCGATGCAGCAAATCATGAGAACCGCCAACAAGTACGACCTGGGTTTGGACCTGCGGACGGCGGCGTACGTCAACGCCATCGAGAAGGTGTTCAAGGTTTACAGCGAGGCCGGCCTCATCATCACATAGACCCGCCTCCATCCACCTGTCCGTCTGTCTGTCCTACCTGAGTTTAGTTTCCACGTGTGTTTGAATTTCTCTGGGATTCTTCGTCTTGGTGCAGTCGCTCCTCCTCCTCCTCGTGTCTGTGTCCTTCTTTGAATTTAAACTTTAAAAAACCAAAGAAACTTGCAGTCGACAGCTTTAACGCCACGGTCGCTCACCTGAATCGCTGCTTCCTGCACAGAAATGACAAATTATCTGAGCTCACTGGCCAAAAGTATGTGGACACCCCACAGATGATGTGGGCGGAGCCTTTCAGATGAAACGATTCCTTTCTCTGGAGTGTCGCGGTCCCGAAAGCCTCGAGTGGACGAGTCATAAAACGAGCTTCAGGAAAAAACAATATTTGTTTTTTCATTTTTATTGTTTTATTAATATTTTCGGGTTGAATCATGAACAAACTGAGCTGAAGTGTCGGTTTAACACGCATGATTAGAAAAAGGTGCAATCACTGAATAAACCTGAAGACGTGCAGCGGGACATTTCTGTTGGCACACTTGAGGTGATTTCCTTTTTCTCATTTCTGTAACTGTGGGGAAAGTGCCGGCGCTCTGTGGGAACGCTGGATCAGTGCTGTCACAGATCACACACAGATCAGACCTGTGAGAGATTATAACTTCAGGATTAAATTAATCTTTTTCTGTCTTTCGAAAGGTTAAAAACTTGAAGCTCTGTTTGGACGAGTGACAGTGGTCTGTAGGTCGCCTCCTTCAGGCTCCGTTAACGGGCCCGGTTCGTATCGTGGAGGGAACGTCTGCTGCTGCAAACACTGATCCCAGATCAGTTCGTTGTGGGTGTCCACATACTTCTGACCGTGTCGTGCTTTTCTTCTTCTACTGTGACGCCGTGCGCACGTGCCTCAGGACTGTCGCTTTAATGTTCTTCTGCCCACAGTCACTTTATTAAGAGCAATAACTCGTTTACAGCCATCGCTGAAATTTTAAAAAACATCCAATTGAATGCAGACGTTTACAGCAGAGAAAACTTCATCATCTTATCATCAGTCCAGCCGCCGGAGCTCCAGACCC